ACGTGCAGATCTGCCCTCGCAGAATAAAACTTGGTCTTAAAGGTGCCACTGGACTGTTTTGGATTGCTAGCTATGGGGGGGGGGCTCTGCAACTTACCTGGTTGCTTCTTGCTCCTTGTGGCCTGACTGAGGGCTGCTGGGAGCAGGGGGCGGGGCTTGTTGCATGTGCCCGTCCCCTAGGCTCCTTACTGCCGGAGCTCCGCTCCTGTGCGCTCCCCCAGGAAATGACCCCTGCTCATGAGCAAAAATTCTACTTTGTGAGCTACTGGCATTAAAGTTGTGAGCGAGCGATTTGGCTGCTGCGTCAATGAGTTTGCTCTGGAGCCCCATCCTTCCTGAGCTGAGACAAAAAGGTGTGAGCTGGAGGCTAAAGAACTGTGAGCTGGCTCACACTAACTCAGCTTGGTGAGGGGGGGGACACTGGTTCCCATCCCCCAGCGCAAAAGCAGACATTAGCACAGGGCACTGTTCTCCTGCAGTGGACCTTCCTGGTCTAGGGGTCAGCTAGGGTAGCACAATTTTGAATTACGGTGCTGGAGAAGACTCTTGAGAGTCCCTTGGACTGCCAGGAGATCACATCAGTCCATCCTCAAAGAAATCAACCCTGACTGTTCCCTGGAAGGCCAGAGACTGAAGCTCAAATACTTTGGCCCCCAAATGAGAAGGGAGCCCTCACTGGAGAAGACCCTGATGCTGGGAAAGATCGAAGGTCAAAGAAGAAGGGGACGGCAAAGGATGAGATGGTTAGACAGTGAATCCAACACCCAAGAAGTGGGTACAGGGGGAACCTGCTTTCTATTTAATGGTTTCAAGCTATGCCGGGCTCAGACGGGAAACCAGGGCGGGGCAATCCGATAAGATCTCTTTGAGCTTTGCGTAAAACACACGGTTCGCGTGACGTTGGCAACCTCTGCCAAGATCAAGGCAACACGTCAGGAATATTTTACAGCTAAACCAGATACAAGAAATGCAAAAAAAAGGGGTTGGCTAATGTTAATGTTAGAACTCTGGACCGACATTCATTTTTTCTTGAGCAACATAGCTTGAAAGCAGTTGGACGTTCTTAATGACAGTGACTTCTATAGAGCCACTGGCCACTCTGGCTTGGCATTAGAGCCTTTCCCCACCACCACGATGCATGCACACAGGTGTACCTGAGTTGTGGAAAGACTAGGTGTACTCAACAGGTGCATTCAGGTCCCCGAACTGCCAGTTTGCAAATGCGCAGCCCCCCCCAAAAAAACCACTCCCACTACAAGAACAATCCCTGATCTTCAATGCTGTCGATCTGTCGAATTCTTGATTCACAGTGTTAAATGCTTCGCTTCGTATCTCTATGAATACCGAGCATCAGAACGCAACACTTACCCAGAAGGAATCTTTAAACTGCAGCTGCGCCATGGCGACAGACTGGAACGGATCGGTTTGGGGCAAGGTGGCGCAAAAGTTTTGGAAAGAGGCGTGCCGCTTGCGCTCCAGAGCAGGAAAAGAACGCGCTCCTCAGGCCGTGTTTCCTTGTAACAACTCGCAAAACGGCACCTGTCAGACGGAGGGAAACTGCAGCACCATAGCTTGTCGCTCGGAAAGGAAAGAGGGAAAAAGAGGCCCAAACTTCACAGGTCTCCCCCCCTTCCTCTTCCTCTCATCTGGCTCCACCCCCCTGGGTTCTTAAGTCACAACCCCATTTCAATTTCTGGCAACCAGTGAATATATATATTGAAATAAGGAAACTGGCGACCAGGCTGACGCCTTGTCATTTAGATGCAAATGAGACACACATTTTTAAAAATGACGACAGGGCGATCGACACTCCAGAGAAGCAAAAGGTCTATCTGATAAAAGGGATGAAACGACACCTTGGAAAGAGAGATCTAAGTTCGGTGACGCGGCCGTCAGCCGTGCAAGTGGCGTATCTTGATGCAAGGCATATTTTTGTTTGGTGGCAGTGGGGAGATATGTATTTTATTTTATTTTATTTTTGCACTGTAGAGGAATCACACACAGGCACACAGGAAACAGAGCTGTGGTGTTGCACGCTCAGCGATTGCAGCAATAACCGGCAACGTTTTGCCAGCTCTCGACAAAATCCAGGAAACGTTGGTCGCGACTCGCGCACACTGTCCGCCGCCTGCCTCACCCTGGTCTACATCGGCCTGTGGCTTTCCGAATGTTGCTGTGCAAAACTGCATTCGCCGTGAATATGAATGAAAGAGTTAGCGCACACAGTGCGCTGCTGGAATGCTAATGGGGCACGGTCCCCTGGTACCCGTCACTCAAGGCCTTTCAGGATGTGATTATTCAGACCTTCCCGGCCAATGGAGCTCAGGGCTTCCACGCTCCTTCGCTAACGTCCCGGCAAAGCGGAGAAGGCGTTTGCTAGGTAGCCAGAGAGCCAGCGCTTTGGAATATATTGCAAAATGGTTTCGTTCCTCCTGGAGGCGGAAGGAAATGTGGGGCTATCAAAAATTGAAAGAGTGCCAAAGCAGTTGTTTTTTGTTTTTTAAAAGGGGGACGTTGAATTCACAGAAGTGGTGGTGGAAAGTGCCATCAAATCACCGCTGATTTATGGCAACCCTGTAGGGTTTTTCCAGGCAAGAGATGAACAGAGGGGGGTTGCCATCGTGTTTCCTCTGCATAGCAACGGTGAAGGAAATGTGGGGCTATCAAAAATTGAGAGAGTGCCAAAGCAGGTTTTTTTTAAAAAAGGGGACGTTGAATTCACAGAAGTGGTGGAGGAAAGTGCCATCAAATCACCGCTGATTTATGGCAACCCTGTAGGGTTTTTCCAGGCAAGAGATGAACAGAGGGGGGTTGCCATTGTGTTTCCTCTGCATAGCAACGGTGGTCTTCCTTGGCGGTCTCCCATCCGAGTACCAGCCAGGGCCGACCCTGCTTAGCTTCTGAGATCTGAGGAGATTGGCTAGCTTGGGCCATCCAGTTCAAGGCAGGGGAACAGAGGTGGTTTGCCATTGCCTACCTCTGCATAGGCTGGAGCTGCGGTGGCTCAAGTGGTTAAGACGCTGAACTGCAGGCTGTGGAAGGTCGGTAGTTCAGCAGTTCGAGACCCGAGTGTGCCGCATGACGGAGTGAGCTCCCGTCTCTAGTTCCAACTCCTGCCAACCTAGCCGTTCGAAAGCAAGAAATTGCAAGTAGATAAATAGGTACCACTTCGGTGGGAAGGTAACAGCGTTCCGTGCGCCTTGGTGTTTAGTCATGCCGGCCACATGACCATGGAAACGTCTTCGGACAGCGCTGGCTCTTCGGCTTTGAAACGGAGATGAGCGCCGCAACCCTAGAGTCGGATTCGACTGGCTTTCGAGCAAGGGAACCTTTACTCTTTACTTTACCTCTGCATAGCGACCCTGGACTTCCCTTGGCAGTCTCCCATCCAAATACTGACTAGGGCTGACCCTGCTTAGTTTCTGGGATCTGACCAGTTGAGGCTAGAGCCTGGGTCATCTAGGTCAAGGCAAGAAACATACAGAGGTTGTTTGCCATTGCTTGCCTCTGCATACCAACTGTGGACTTCCTTGGTGGTCTCCCTTCGAAGTACTAACCAGAGCTGACCTTGCTTAGCTTCTGAGAGCTGATGAGGTTAGGCGAGCCTGGGCCACCCACATAAAGGCAAGAGACGAACAGAGGTGGTTTGCCATGGCCTGCCTCTGCATAGCAACCCTTAGGCTTCCTCGGTGGTCTCCCATCCAAGGACTAACCAGGACTGACCCTGCTTAGCTTCCGAGATCTGACGAGATTGGCCTAGCCTGGGCCATCCAGGTCAGGGCAGACAAGCAGAGGTGGTTTGCCACTGCTTGCCTCTGCATAGCAACCCTTGGACTTCCTTGGTGGTCTCCCATCCAAGGACTAACCAGGGCTGACCCTGCTTAGCTTCCAAGATCTGACGAGATTGGGCTAGCCTGGGCCATCCAGGTGAAGGCAAGAGACACTCAGAGGTGGTTGGCCATGGCCTGCCTCTGCATAGCAACCCTTGGACTTCCTTGGCAGTCTCCCATCCAAGGACTAACCAGGGCCGACCCTGCTTAGCTCCTGAGATCTGACGAGATCGGGCCATCCTGGGCCATCCAGGCCAGGGCAATTCATAGAAGTACACCATACTAAATCCATTTGGAAGGAGACGCAAGAGATGAGTTCTTGAAAGTCGTCTGCATTTTGGTCCATCCTCTGCCACTTATGTCTAGCCTGCGTTTCATGCTGAGTACTGAGGTGGAGAACTCTTTCATTCATATTCACGGCGAACGCAGTTTTGCGCAGCGACATTTGGAAAGCCACAGGCCGATGTAGGCCCGGGTGAGGCAGGCGCCGGACAGCGTGCGCGACCGACGTTTCCTGGATTTTGACGAGCGCGGGCAAAACGTCGCCGGTTATTGCAAAAACAACAGGGCATAGAGGCCAAGGCCTTCCCCTGACCTGCTGGCTCTGGGATTCAGAGGTCTAATGCCTCTGAAGGTGGAGGGTCCCCCTCAGCCCTTAATAGACTTCTCCTCCATGAATCTCTCTAACCCCTTTGGAAAGATCAGCCATCATGACATCCTCTGGCAGCAATTTCCACATTTTAATCACTCTCTGTGTGAAACAGTATTTCCCTTCCTTTCCTCTCCCCACAACAGGCACCTTGTGAGGTAGGTGTGGCTGAGTTTGGAGAGAAGGGTGACTGGCCCAAGGTCACCCAGCAGGTTTCAGGTGGAGTGGGGAATCAAGCCCAGTTCTCTGGATTAGAGTCTGCCACTTATATATATCCCACTGCCTTAACATCTGAACTGTGTTAGTTCAAGCCCCGCGCTGGTGTGAGCAGCCAGCCTGTTGTCCCCAGTTCATCGTCC